TACTGAATGACAGTGTCATGAGAAATTTTCCTTTATTGTCTAATATAAGCTTTCTTAACTACACTCTTAGCGCTTATGGACATGGAGAATATTTATGACATATAATCTTGCTTTTGTCTCTCAAGACAATCATAATTCTAGTTAGGGTTCAAACTATTTTCCTTAGAAAAACTCTAGAAACATTAAATACTTTTACATTTTCCAGAGCAGGCACACCAAGGATTGAAAAGTCCTTCAGCTATTTGTAACTGAATCACTCAACCATTTATGACTTTTTCTAAGAACTGCACCTGACTAAACTTTGGCTGCAAATCTAATTGTAGGATTAACATGTTCATAAAGAGATTAATTACTTATACCTCCTAAGTATTTTTGAGCGTGTGTGAAGTCTTTTAGTGGAATCACACAAGACTGTATTATTGTTCTGATAGTGTATGAATGTGATTGTCATTTTTTTTAACTTTATTATTTAAAATTGTAATTATTCAGAGAATCAGTACCGATTGACCAATTTATGTCAATACATTTTCCAGTGTCACAATAGAGCTCCTTTAGTTCTACTTACATGCTTCAATTTTCCCTAGTCACTGTGATAATTTAGCAAATTCTAATCAAATTAGGAATAGCAACTTTTTTCTTGCTTAGGTCCAGTACCCTTATCTTTTCCTCATATTTTGATGAAGCAAATTAAAATACAATAGTCAAATAGCAATTTATGATTAAATCTATTATAAGTAGTACTTAATTAATTGCACATCACATAATAGTCTCATACAGCTTCAGTTAAGGTGCAGGACAGCCTGGCTTTCAGTGCCTTACATCTGAGCCTTAGCAAATGGCACCTGGTTTCCTACAGTTCATGAGAAGAATCAGATGCCTTAAAAGAGCTGCTGAAGGAGAAAGTGCACTCAGTACACACACAGAATTATGAAGAAAACACTTACCATGATGGCAGATGATTTCTGGGTTTATTTAATGCTTTCAGACTATATTCCCTTTCTGACAATTAAATCAGTGAAGTCCTCTGCTGGCTCTAGATGTTAATATTTATTTAGTGCTTTAATATTTTTACTGTCATAAGTGAAAGTATTCTCTAATATTACAGCACTGAAATATTACTGCGTAAACAGTTGCTTCTGTAGCACTTCTGCCATGGAGAAGAAACTTCCAACCTCTCCAGCTGAAGAAAATCATGCCACTCTTTAAAAAGACAAAGCTGAGGAAGTAGTGTTTTTAATTAAAACTTCTCTGCTGAAGTTAATTTAACTCAGATTTGGGGAGTGGAATAAGAAGAAAGAATGTTTTGGGGCAGACATTGTAGTAATCCTTTGGCACAGGGGACATTTATTGGAAGTTGTGAGCATACAGCAAGAGAAAAAGCTAGCATGCTCTTGGGAACGTCACACACTGTTTTTTGATAACTAGCAGTTTAAAAACAAGGAAAAAAAATCTTATTGCAAACTAAACAAGCAGGAAATGAGGATTCAGGACCATCCAAAGATCTGATAATTTTTACTAACTCATTTGGCAAGTTAGACACGATTCAAGACTAATTAATGGGACTCATGTCCCTTCTCACTTTAGAGAGCTGTGAAACATTGCAGCAGACCTGACCAAAGCTTCATGCACACATTATATTTATCTCCTTCTCCTGCTCAACAGCCTGTTCAGTAAAGAAGTAAATATGCATTGGATATATTAATTGTAAAACACAACTTCTCTCTTCTGAGCATGTCCAAATTGAATAGCACAGGCCACTTACAAGTTCATTTGCTTAAAGGGAGTAGAAGTTACACCTCTACTAATAAACTAAGAATGAATGGGACAGATAGTTAGTTGACCCTATAGCCTGGTTCAAAAAAACAGGCCAAATCCTCACTGTGAAACTCTTCTTTCCTCCAAAAAAGGGTCCTTACATGAAAGTTGCTGATTAGGATGGCTCCCTCACTTGTACTCAAGCTACACAAGGAATTGTATGGGGAAAATACCGGTGGTCAACATGACCCTAAAACCATGGCAATGATCATTATAAAAATTGTAGCAGCATAGATGACCACATTCCCTGTCCTGGAATGGCTGGTGACATTTAATTCTAGGAAATGTGTAGTCAGAATAATCTGAAATTTGACCAGAGTATGGAACTGACACAATTTAAGAGATTGATGGATTACATTTTCTTGCAAGTGGGTCTTATTATCTTCTTGTATATCCGTCTGCCCAACAGCATAAGATTGTGTCTTTTGAAGCAGAAATATGGAATAATTTGATTTGGACGGATGATTTCCTTGAAAAGAATGACAGGAACTCAGTTGTTCCTACAGTGAATGGGAAATGTAGGAGAGGGAACTGTCTCTGCAAGAAAAGGCCAGGTTTCTTTTCTTTATTTTTTTCATTAGGTTTCCTGAACTATCATGCTGTCTATCAATCTCTGAGAATGTAATCCCTTTAAAACCCTTTCTGTTAGCCTGCCCTTTGACTTTCAAATCATTTTCTCAGGAAAGCAAATTTATGCAGCATGTGAGGTATCATAGCAGAGAAGAAATCTGAAGGTGATCACAAAGTAGCAGTGTAGCTTCTTTCTAGTTACATCTGCTTCAGTAATATCCATGGGACAGGTACAAATGTGTTTAGAAACATACACTGCTAAAGTGAAGAGAGGATTTATGATGCTGGCAGATAATCTAAACAAAAAGTTGAGTCTCTGCAGAGACTCAATTTCCCAGTATTAATGGGAAAATGTTTTTCTTGTTTTTACTTGCTTTTATATTTAGCCAAACCAGACTTCACATCTATAGTCCACTGCAGAAGACTGGAAGAAAGTGAAGATTATTATCCGAATGCCAGGAGAAGGTGTAATTTTATTGCAGTGATTTTTTACTTTATTTTTTTCTTCTGTCATTTACAATTTTTAATGAGTAAAGGAACCTATCCGAAACACTTTAACATTTAATAAGCTTGACCATGCTTAAGAAAAATAAAGAAATAATTAATTATGAATAAAGTGATAAGGAATCACAAAAAGGATATCTCTACATCATGTAAACTGTAATTGAACTTTTAGGTAAACTTTAGGGTTTTTTTGCTGAAATTGCATCATTTGCTGTGGAATCACAAAGAACTCTTAGAGGAATTCTCTGCTGGAGAGTCCTCTCTTAATACAGTCTAGGAATGGCATTTCTGCCCTGATAGTTCGGAGAACTAAATTACAAGAAAAACACCATTTAATGTTTTTTTTTTTTTTTTTTTTTTTTTTTTTTTTCCCTGCCCTTCCACACAACTGTGCTAAGGAGACACTGTTTTGGGTTTTACTATTTTGTGGCATGTACTCCACCACTGATTTATAATTCTTTCTGTTTAATCTCCTGCTATATAGCTGAAAGAAAAAAGAAAGAAAAAAATACAAGCACTGCTGTCCAAGCAGAGGTGAAAAAAAAAGTATATCAACAAAGAAAAATATCAAAAGAAGAAAAAGGAATATTGAAATGACAAAAATCTGTATGGCATGGGTTTTGTATGTTTACATTAAAATAGTATAATGAAATTTTTGTATAAGCTGCAAGCCTGTGGGAGTTGTTCTGGCTCCCTCTGTTTTAATTTTGAGTACATGCATAGATACTTGCAGCTGTCCAGGTTCAAGGCCTGTTGTAATTGGAGGTACCCCTTCCAGGTGAGTACTAAGGGAATTGTTCATATACCATTCCCAGTGTAATGGTTTCATAGGCTAAAGGATTTATTTTGTTAATACTCTTCTTACATCAACACTCTGAAAGGGTCAGTGTTTGCACACACTTGGTAGCTGATGGACATACTACAATGATGGGACGTTACATTTGGACTGCACTACTTAATGAGTACTCCAGAACTTTCAAATAAGGGAAGCAGTGGAAGGATTCCTTTTCTGCCTCGTATTGCTTACAGAGGCACAGAGGTATTTCTTTTTCTTTTTTTGATTCTAAATGTAAAGTCTCTGATGTAAAAAGCTTCTGAATTTTATTGCACAGTTCCTTTTTATTTTTTTGACTCCTAAAGGAAAGTGTACCCATCTGACCTACAAAAATGAAAAAATATACTATATGTAAGGTCTTTTGTAAGGGAACTACTTTTTAAAAATATTATTTTTCATCCTTCTTCTTATTAACAGCTTATCTTTGCTTGAGTGGAGTTTCAGGAAAGGCCAGATTATTTTAAAATAATTTTGTAATAAAAAGAAATCACACATTGGAAAGCTATTCAAATGAAGGGAAAGAGGCAATTTTTCATCTCATTTTCTTCTCTTTCCTTCAAATTTTAGATTGAAAAGCACTGCACATCTGGAAAATTGTTTTTAATTATATTTAAAATTGAAGACAGTATTATAATTCTGAATTAATTTGAATGAAAAATGAAATGCAATATATAATAATGGCTCTATTCAATTTGCTATTCACAGATTTACTTGTATGTCTGTTTCATTAGTTCTTCTAATATATTAAGGTTCAAGCAAACTGAAGAAATTGAAAGAAATATGACAAATTTTTCAGCATGGTATTACATATTTTAGGTTCTCTTACAAGTGCATTCTTACACTGAAGACAGTTTGAGTTACATCTGTGCATTTACAAGTGAAATCAGTCCCTATTTTCTTAGCTGTTCAGTCAGGAAAAAAAAAATAGAGATGTTATATAAGTTGAATTCATTCACATAGTAAAGTTATAAAATTCTTTCTCAGTATAAAACAAATAATGCATTCATACATTCTGGAAAAATAAAAGTTTCCCATGAAGAATAATGGTAACTCATTTAAAACTGGTTTATTTCCAGTTTTGTCATGCCTTCTAAAAGCATTCCTAACAGTTTAATCCTATATCCACTTCTGATATTGATTTCAAGGGGACAAATAAGATCTCCTTCTGCAAGGCTGTCATACACTACATAGAGTTTCTAGTTTCTAGCAGTGTTATGCTCTGGCTTATCTACTAGCTTGACAACACAGTAAATTATTAGATATTTTCTCATCATACCTTGAGAATTTTGCACATTATCTCATAAACTGAAAATGTTTTCTCTGCTCGTGTCCAATCCCACGTTGTGACCTTGGAAGAAAAAAAAAAGAAAAAGAAAAAAAAAGAAAGAAATATTTTTCTTTATTTAGAATGAAGTTTATTAGAAAAAAAAAAAAAAAAAAAAGATCTATCCATAAAACTTTCTGCCCTTTATCTCCTGCATAACATGTACAAAAAGAGGAAATACTGCCTTAGAGAAATAACTACCAGGGACCAGACTGCTGCCTGGAGGTGGTGCTGAGGAGATGTTCTGCCTGTCCCCTTGGGCATCTCACAATGGCTTTGCATGCTGGCTGCTTTAGGCTTTACCTGGGAACCTCCAGTCCACTCTGGTGAGGGCCTTGCACTCCAATTCCCGCTGAAAGCAGTCCTTGGACTCCTCTGACAGAGCCTGGACTGCAAAAGGGCTTTTCCTTCTTTATTCCTTGCAACTGTGTGCTACAATCTGCCCAGTTATCTACTTGCAAAGGTACCAAAGGATAAAACCAAACCCTCCAACTCTGCCCTGTCCTAGATACTGTTTCATATGTAGGGCACTAACTAGTCTCCACAAGGCTTTCCATTCTGGGGAAAAGTAAAGGTAATGGGCAAAGATTAAGACTTGAGCAGGAAAGAAAGGGATAGATAAATTTATTCAGTCATGGAAGAGTCAAGGGGATCACAGCAAACTGTAAATAACTCTAAGGAAACTGAGAAGGAAGAATTATTCACAGTCTCAGAAGATACAAGAATAAGCAAAATGGATTATAAATGAAGAAAAAATCTTAATGATAAAGAGAAGAGAGGTCCAGCCCCAAAGCAATTGTTTTTGTATCTGAACATGCAAAGAAGTACTTTTAATCAAATAAAAAAAAAAAAAAAGGAGGAGAGGACAGCTTGTGCACTGTTTAAACACATGTCTCTCTTCAGTCTCTGAAAAGGATCATTTTAGGGGGTAAATAAATATGCAAACAGTATATGACATATTTCTACAAAAATTTTAAGAACCCTTCCACTTGTTCCTTAAGGAGTGTGCTTGTCATTCTTCTTCCCTCCTAGCTAAGGAGAGAAAGTGTTTCTGTTTTACGTTTGAACTGCCTTCTTATCTTCAAATAAGAATCTCACAAAAAAAAAAAAAAAAAAAAAAAAAAAAAATCAAGTAGCACCTGCAGTCCAGCTGACATAAGACCTATAAAGATTTCAAACATTGATGGCTTGTCTCATATATAGAAGCCTCCCAGCACTGTCCTCTATCACACCACCACAGCCAGCAGCCCCCCTGCAGCACTGTAAAGAGCATGTTCCTTCCTCCTCCATTAACGATCACCCAACTACCTACAGCATATTACTTCTTATGACTGAATCCTCCATAAAGATGTCTGTAGCTGTCTTCTGTAGTGCTTACAAAAGAAAAATTCTCCCCTTTTCTATTGCACTAGTCCCTTCAGAATTGTTTCTGCTTTTATCTGGTATCTAGAAACTTCACCTGATGGCCAGAAAATACTCAAGTATGTCTGCTAAAACCAAGGGGGCTACTTTTGAATTTAAGGTGGTCAACATCGTAATTTGGTATTTTATCCTTTTTGAAAACATCCACCAGCAAAGGCCAAACTCCCATTTCTAGGGCTGAATCAGTGAGCCAGCAGTTAACAGCACTGAATACACTGAGTTTCGGTTCATTCCATTCTATGTCTAATTCCATTCTTCATGTTCTTTAACATGACCCTAAAATGCTTTGCTAACCAAATAAATGTGAGCAATGACTGAAGAATAGTGTAAAAAACTTGCTAGCAAGCTTAGAGCTACTTCATTCAGAAAGCAGCTTCTGTTTGGCTATGGAAAGATACATTTTAAAAGCAGTTCAGAAAATTCATCCAATAAAGTGAATAAATGAACTCATACTACTCTCCCTGTTGACAATACTGGACTGCTACTGGTTCCTTACCTAGTGACTTAAAAGTTAGCCAGAGTTTATTGGCATTTACTGCAGTATACATATATCGTAAAAATATAAAATACAATGCTGGCTATGAAACAGCAGAAAAAAATTTGCCCTGTGTTTCCAGTCAAATTTCAATTAACATATTTGACCTAAACATTTGCTTTCCTACCTTCGTTCTGGTGCTCTCAAACAGTAAAAAATTGCTATATTCATGATGAAATCTAAAGATAGAGATAATGCTCTGCAAGACTTGTCATTTCCACAGCATGTAAAAAGCTTTGATATTTTCAAAAATCTCAGTAGTTTGCCTTTTGAATGATAGCTCAGTAAAAATCTAGTTATCTTCCTTAAGGCTTTTTCTTCATGCCAAAGGGATATGAAAAATCCCCTTTTAGTTTGAGTACTTTTTTCTTTTATTTTTCCTAAGTGCTCCTGCAAGTGGGTGCAAGAAGTACTTGTTAGTTGCAAAATCATCTAGTGAACATCTATTTTCTATCAGTTTTACACCAGCTCCCAGGAACTTTTCTGTGCTGTAAGCTGCAATTGTGTCAGCTGAATAGGTGATATCTCAGTGTGAAAAAATTCTAAATATTACATGAAATAATTGTATTTAATAGCCCTTACTCCTGCTAAATATGATAGATATACTTACAGGAGGTGCTATAAATTTATAAAGAGAAGATCCCCTCAGTGCTAGAAACTTTGGTGTGTACATTCGATCCTGAAGGGAGTCTTGTTCCCGTTCTTCCATCCAGCCCATATAGACTATCTGACAGAAAAATCAATAGTGTTGACAAATTTCTCAGATATTTTCTTCAAATGAATTACAAATATTTCACACAAGTAAGCTGATGTCTGTCAAATCTTATACAGCTACAAACCTTGAATCACTGACAAAATACAGTTTATTGGCAGTTCACTTATCATCTCATAATTGTATAAAGAAAGCCTGTTATAACAATCTGAAAACATCAGAACAAATATGTATCATACTAGCAATACCCCAAAATAGCTAAAACACATGCTTAGCAGATGTTAAAGGTATATTATCCTATTAAAATCTCTCTGAAGTAATACTACATATTTGATGAGAAAATACATCAGAGAAATTTAATGTGAGTAAGTGAAGTGTAAGGAATCATTAAGCAGAAAAAAATAATTGTCACAAAAATAGTGAAAGAAGAGAAGAACATATAGATAGATAGAAATACAGATAAATGGGATTTTAAGGCAATAAAAGCAAAAATCCTGGAGTACACCCATTATATACACCCTACTAATTGAATGAGTTCAAAATTTTTGTTTACTGTGATAACATACATCAGTTAAAAAAACACTATTGCACTGAAAATTGTACTGCATTTTTAAAGTATTGTCTTAAAAACGAATGCTGCATAATTTATATTATTTTAAAATTTGATTTGTCTTTTTCTCAACATACATAACATGTTTGTAATTCATCTATTAGCATATTAAAGCATTTTCTTAAAGTTTTAAACTCCAGAGAAAAATATTTTTGTTAGGAAAGTGAAATAAGAAGGAAAGAAAATACCAAGATTTTTGAAGGAAATGGTAATTTTTTTTATAAAATCACAGAATGGTTGAGGTGGGAAGGGGTCCTTTACAGTAGGGTGGGAAGGGGTCATTTACAGTATGTTGCACAGGGTCATGTCCAGACAGGTTTTGAATATCTCCAAAGGAAACTCTACAACCTCTCCAGGCAGCCTGTTTCAGTGCTCTATCACCCCCACAGTAAAGAAGTTCTTCGTATGGAAAGGCAACTTCTGTGTTTCAATTTGTATCCATTATCCTTTATCCCATCTCTGTCCACTACTGAGAAGATGCTACCAATCTAGCTACGTCCTCTAAATATGAATTCACAGTGGTGCATTAAATAATATGATACTACAAATTTTGTATCTGAATTACAGCAGGTGATTTTTTTTTTCCAAAAATTCGTATTTAGGTGTTTTGAACTTCCTTACATGGAAATAGGGTAATAACAACCTGTTTTCAGCCACTCTATTTAGAACATTCTTCATTTACAGCTGAAGTGCAATTAGAAAATCTTGGACTTTTACCATTATGTGCGCTTTTTTGGAAATAAATTTAGGAACTATGACATATTCAAACCCATTTTAGGACAATGTTCACTACTCATCCATCTATCAAAAAATATGAGAAACCTTACATTAAATCTGTGAAGAATAGGCTATTACTTACTACTATGCTAAATTCTAGACAATATCTGAAAAAAGGAGTAAACACATCATGCAACTTTTGATTTATAAACATGCTATTAATAGCAAATAATAATTTCTAGTGTGTACTGGTACACTACTTCTATGGAAAAACGACTCAACTCATACTTCACACAGACCATATAATAGAACAGATCAGAAGCATCAGAACAGATGCTTTTAAGTGCATTTGTGAAAATTGTTTCTACACTTACTAAGTATGAGTCCTTCACTTTCCAATGTCCTGATGCATTGTGCATGGAATAGCGAAAACATAAGGAAAGCAATCTAAGAAAAATAACTGTAATCACATTAATAGTCAATGAGCTAGTACGTTTGCTGATATATATTGCCTAAATGTACCTATTACTCTTCAAATTGTACATTTTATCATTTGAAACCCTATATGTCATAATTTTCTACAAGGAAACAAGTTATACAAGTTATTATTTGATTACTGTTGGAAAGAAGCTTAATCAACATTATTTCTCTGTTGAATTTTACTGCTGCACACTTGAAATTCCTGCATTAATAAAATCTCTCTGTACATACTCATAATACTACTCTCTGTTACAGTTTACTAGATTCTTTATATTCTACACATGTGTATGCAGGGAGACAGGGAGAAGGTCTGCTGTTCTCACACCTACAGTCAAATCTCGACATTTGGTTGTATTGCTCAGAGCAAACATCAATTATCTAAGACAGTTTTGGATTCAATTAATAGTATTTGCTGTTTTTGTGATTTAGCATGTTTGTAAGGCTTCAAAAGACTGAATCATGCCACAGTACTCCAGAAATGAGTATTTGATACTTCACTGACATGCAATAACTGAACTGCCATGCCCTGATATCTCATCACTTCTAAAAGAAAAACAGTCAGAAAGATAACCTGACATGCTGACTGCATTTTGAATGTTTATTCAGATTTCCCTCACTTCTGCTTTTTCATATGCAATTTAATGCAAAAATAAAAAGAAAACGAAAGTACAAACTCCTAATCCTCTGACTTAGAAGGACTCTGTAGAGTAAAAAAGAGACACTACAGAGAGGAGAAAAAAATGTATTAAAAAAGTATGTATATAAGTAAGTTTGGCACAGTTTTCTCCATGTAACAGATAAAGAATGAATGGCTAGTTTCTAGAAACTGAGGCACCTACTTTTTAAAATTAATTATACTGAATTGCTTTGATTCCATCTTTGAGTTGTTTCATTAACTTTGGACACGCAGTAAGATATCATCTTGCCTGACGATATCTAATATCATTGTACCACGACAAATAATCTGTGTTCAGCTAGTGTCTTTCTTTTTTCTTTCACACATTGTTCATTTCATTTTATAAGGTTTCTACTTCTACTACTCATCAGGATAACAGGATAAAGTCACTCATGCTCTGCAGATATATTGATATTTCACATTTGATTGCCTTAATACTATAGCAGCCATGAAATTTAAGGCAATTGCTCTTTTAGTTATTTCTCCCTTGCCTCTTCTGCTCATGAGAAGAAATTAGATTGATTTTTCCTTCTGTTGTAAGGATTTGTTACCAAAAAGCACTTTTCTCTTTCACCTGGTATACTCACTATTACCCACTGAATTGTTAATTGCTAAATGAATTGTTATGACTGTCTAATTATAATTAGGAGCACGTAGAAGTTGTTCGCATGTGTGTATATATGCATGTGTGGATTAAAATAATATGGGTTAGATTTTGGAAAAAAAGGACAAAGCTTAATAAATAATTTATAACTAACTAATGTCTAACTAACCATCCTGAGAAGATAAAGATAGATAAAATATTATCATTTTTTTTATGTGATGAAGCTTGGAAATTGATTATTTTTCACTTCTGAGATAAAAATGAAGTCCTGAGCCATTTATATTAGAATATTTCAGAATATTTCAGAATATTTAAGGTTGGAAGGGACCTCTACAGATCATCTAGTCCAACCTTCCTGCTCAAGCAGGCACACCTAGAGCATGTGGCACAGGGTGGCATCCAGGCGGGTTTTGAAGACCTCCAGAGTAGGAGACTCCACAACCTCCCTGGGCAGCCTGTTCCACTGCTCTGTTACCCTAACAGTAAAGAAGTTGCTCCTCACCTGGAGACGGAACTTCTTATGCTTCAGTTTGTGGCCATTACCCCTCGTCCTATCGCTGGCCACCAGTGAGAACAGCCTGTCCCCTTCCTCCCTGCATTCTCCCTTCCTGAACTTATACATATTAATCATATCCCCTCTGAGCCGTCTCTTCTCCAGAGAAAACAGGCCCAGCTCGCTCAGCCTCTCTTCGTACGAGAGATGTTCCATTCCCTTAATCATCCTGGTTGCCCTTCTCTGGACCCTCTCCAGAAGCTCCACGTCCCTCCTATACTGGGGTGCCCAGAACTGAACACAGTACTCCAGGTGCGGCCTCACCAGAACTGAGTAGAGGGGCAGAATCACCTCCCTTGACCTGCTGGCAACGCTCCTCCTGATGCAGGCCAGGATGCCATTGGCCTTCTTGGCCACGAGGGCACACTGCTCACTCATGGTTAACTTAGTGTCAACCAGGACTCCCATATTACTGAGAAATATTTTATCTTTGACTTCTAAAAAAGCTTTGACTATAAATAGCATAAGAATATTATTTACTTGAAAAGGGAATTCTACTTTTCATAATAATAACTCATCAATATGTAAAATGTAAATGAACATAAAATTTAACTTGTGAGATTTGGAACATACAAGTTCCAACATGTAGACCTAGCCTAAAATCTTACTGAATTTCATGAGATTCTATATAAAAAGAAATATTTAAACAATAGGCACTATAAGCATGGAAATTAAATTGTAACAACAAAATGAGAGCACATGGTATGTCCTTTTACACATACGGCTTTTTAACCTTGGAAACTTTCTGTGAGCTAACTATAAACATTATCAACAAAGGTTGGGAGGAAAATAAAATGTTGTATGTGATAACATCCACAATTTTGCAGCCATAATATCTTCTAACCTGCCTAAAGCAACTCTTACCTCAAAATCAAATAGAAGGTCCAAATCAGTTAATTTAGTGTCTTTGTGTTCAGTAACAATGATTCAATAACTTATTATGGTCTAACAGTTAAATCATCTACAGATGAAAAAATAATTTATCTAAATGATAAACGAAACTCAGCACTCTCTCCAGCCAGAAGTCCATGTACTCCTAATTTTATATGTATTTATAGCACACAGGCACCCTAGTCCAAGTAAGATAATAATCCAAAAAGCATCATATTTCATATCAGTCCAGCATACTGCTAAAATACTTTGAAGCATATTAAAAAATAATCCCCTCTATTTTTGGAGACAATTCTTTACATTTTAATATGAGTTTTATTTTATTTTATGAGCAAGTAGGAGATAAAAGTACAGGGATATTTTCCCCATATGAATGGTAAAATATATGTGACTTTGAAAGGGAGACGCCATTCAAAGATCAGAACAGATTCACTGACAGCTTTTTATCTTGAAACTTGCACATTCATGCTCATATTCTGTGAAA